CGAGTCGGGTCCGTGTACAGCCATTCAAAAGACATCAACGCTTGTGATGCGCTCGCGCATTTTCATTTGTGCACCAGATCAGTGAAGTGGCCGTGATAAGCCAAACGGGAGTAGAGTACATCTGTTATGGCCAGTTATCGTTTAAAAATACTTGTAACACAATGAATGATTGTAGTTCTATTTATGTAATTAAAGTTGTGTCAATATTATCTCCTATCTTTCAATGAGAATGTACTGTAGATGTATTTTTATACAACTTATATAAATTTATATGAAATATAGATTTTTTAACAATATTTATATACACTGTACATAAATTATTTTTTAGTTTAGAGTAAAAACTACAAATAGTTTATGTCATAAGTATCTTATCAGATGATTGCTTCTGATTTTGTTGACAATATTATCATGATATATTACAAAAACCATTCCATTAAAAATTTCTGGCCTCATTTGACTGCCAGCTTTTCAATAGCTTGTGTTTAAGTGACGTAACTCCTCTTTAGAACCGGTTACAGCCGGATTATTCCAGAAAAGGCCCGGCTTTCGCCAGGCTTCATCCGGGTGTTATCGCCGGGTATGTTCGCCAGCTCGTCGCTCGTTTCATATTTTAAATTCAAATGACCGTACAATTTTTGTGGGCTTTATAACCGGCCTTTCCGGAGAATGTGTTCATGTAGAACCTAATCACTGGAAATTAAAGTTCATTTTGCAATGTCGTTTCCCAAACCTATCTCTATTATTAAAATCAAAAATATATTATGTTATAGATCATCAAAAACTAAATTAAATGAAATTTTGTACTGGTTTTTGGATTAATGATTTCGGTTCGTTGTAATATATTTTTTAAATATTTCATGATTTGGAGCATTTATGTTTTTGTAGTGAATTGTCAAATAAACTAGTTTTGAAAATAAAAGTTACTATTATACACTTCACACTAACTTTTACTCATGACTTCGTCCGCGTGACCGAGATGAAAATAAACCTATATCCTTCTCCGTCCCAAATAGCATGCTTATACCAAATTTTATAGTGATTGATAAAGACGTTAAGGCGTTATAGAATAACAAACATACAAACTAAATTTCACATTTATAATATTACTATGGATTAGTTTATTTAGTTAGTTTAGATATGATCCTATATATGTACATAATAATATAATATGGCGCTAAATAGACCAACCTTGTATTAATTTAGCGACGTCTTTAGCAATTTTTATAAAACTATCCATATCCCGAGACTGTTCACGTAAATTTAAATAAAAAAATATCTTATATTTTAATCCAAGATGATCCAAGGACGAACCTTCTGTGTATCAAAGTAATTCATTCAACCGTTAAAGCGTGATTCGTCGTCAATAAATGCCCAAACGCTTGCAAAGATGAAAAGGAACTTTTAGAATTTTAGTAGAATATCGATTGTAGTTTGAACTGATAGGACTTTGGTACAATTATTGTTTATATAGTAAATATAATATTATCATGGTATTGAAAAAGATGCGTTAATGTATAAAAAAAAAATGGCAGTCCATCACGTCATACAATAGAAAGTGAAGCAGGCGTGCGCGGGCGCATCGGGCGCGATAGAAAGCGGCCGGGCCCGTCTACCGAACTCACATTCACACCAACAAACATGGCGCATTCTTTACATCAACCAGCGATAGCAACATAGTAGTGATTTGTTTGAGAAGGAAAGTAAATTAAGTACTTTGTGGATGCGAAAGCTGTCCAAAATCACACAATCGCTTACATGGAAACAGTTAAATGTTTTGTTGTACAACTGTAATTAGTATTATCATATTTATTCATGAATATATCGATTAAATTTTTTTTTGATGGATGATAATGGAATGGTAACCCCTCCTGCGCTATCGGTATACCCTAGTGGGGCCCATCGTGACGAATTCAACGATAAATTAGTCACGATGGCTTCCAGGGGGAACCGCGTGGAGGTCGACCTGATAAGGTATATTGATAGCGATGGGGACTAATCTCCCCGTTACTAACAATCCCTTCCCCCCTATCTATTTCTATTGGTTTAAAGTTTTGTATGCATGTTTTATGCTGTATTTTCTTTGTATATGTTTGTACTGAATGTGTCAATTTTTAGGTTTGGTTTGAATATGTACAAGGGCTTCTCAAGTATATATCATTATCACATCAGCCTTTAAGTGTCTATTGCTAAATATAAGCCTTCCACTTGGGGGGTTTTACCATTAGTTGCCACACTTGGCAGGCTGGTTAGTAACCGCAGTCAGGCTTTAGAGACCTTTTTAGAGAGACGCTGCTGCCCATCCCTCGTCCTTCCTTAGTCGGCTCTTAGACACTCACGAGAAAGGAAGGGATGGCCTATTCTATGCTGGGACCACATTGCCAATATATAATAAATACATACAACGACCTAAACATTGCTTTGTTGTAACTGCATACTAAAAATAAACTTTACTTGCACTGTTTCAAACTAGCGAATGTTTAAAAATATTTATGAAAAGTTCAGAAAGTTGTCGGAATGTTTTATATTTACTACATTCATTAAAGGTCTCAGTACGCTTCGGGTTAGTGTGGTCAGGCTCATTTGGCTTGTTTTTGCCATTGGCTGCCCAACCGGATATTGTAGTGTCTAATAAAAAAGCCGGTCAAATGCGAGTCGGACTCGCGCAACGAGGGTTCCGTACAAAATCGACAAGTTAAAAAACATCTTTTGTAATATGACTACAAATTTACAGTTTTAGGATTTTTTCCTTTACTTGTGCTACATGACATTGCTTCTTGCCAAATTTCATGATTCTGGGTCAACGAGAAGTTTATTACACTATAGGTTATTACCCTATAGGTTTTGACTCCCTTTGCGAATGTCTAAATATGCGATATAAATGGAACATAAACGACCGTATCTTTGGATTGCGTCGATTTAGAAGCGTGATTTTTTCACTACTTTAAAAGATTGCGGACCTGAGTATATAATATTAATTTTAAAATAATGTTCTCACACATTCCTAAAAAAAGTCCTACAAGGGTTTAGTTTTTTCCTTTGAAGGTACGGAACCCTAAAAAAGGACTATGTAACTGTATATACTGCATTCTTTCAACAACTTCAATAGAACCTATTCACCCATTAACTTAATTTACATCAAATTGCGGTTCGACTGTGAACTACACATTGTTTTAGATATGAGAGCTCTTATCAGATATTAAAACCATTACGCCCAAAGGAGGGTTCCTTTAACACAAAACTTGTTTGTATGTAATTATATCGTCCCCTTCGATGTGAGGTCGGGTCGAGCCGTCGTCTGCCAGGTGTGGTGTGGACGGTCGCCCCTCGCGCGCTGCACATGGTAACCTCGCGGAATCAAGTCCATTGAACTTTTATTAGTTCTATTTAAGTAGCTGAACGCCCACTACTGATCGGCCTTTGGAAATGTATGCATCTTTTAATATGTTTTCATTTTTATTACTCGTTTTATTGCAATACTTTTTAAAGTTATGTTATTGTAAACTGCGATATTGAATCAGTTTACCAGAGGGAGACTTTGTACAAAAGTCGATTGCTTGGGTACCTCTGTCCCATTCGTGTTTCTACCGTGAAGCAGTTGTGTTTGCATGGCTGTGTTTCGGTTTGAAGGGTGGGATATGGAGTGAATTTACAGGGTACGGAGGAATAACATCTGAGTCCTCAGGAATGGTAACGCATGGGGGGTATCATGGGCGAAACAGTATACTCTGTTATGTCTATGGTACTGCTCATGTCTATAAGCGACGGTTACCACTTTCCATAAGGTGGGCCGTCAGCTTGTTTGCCATTCTATAAAAGTTGTATAAAAAAAAGTTTATTAGTCAACTATTGGCATACTAATTTTAAATTCAAATTAATTTATATCACGCCAGTAATATTACGGGACAGGCAGAATTGAGCGCGAACAAACATACGTCTATTTTCAAACTACTTCGAAATGAATAAGTTTTTAAATTTGGTGTATTGTTATTTTATGTAAGAAGTCTTTTTTTTTATCTTAAAAGATATACTTACAAACTGATCTTATAGAAATTTATTCAAATTCTGTTCTGTGCTTTAGTTTTAAATCAAAATAACTGGTTTTGCTACAATTTCCTTCGGTTCTTTTTTGTGGCCCAAAACCTTAATTATTATTCTAAATTTCGTCGGATACACTTTCATTAGTGTCTGGTGCAAGTAAAATCTAATTATTTTTAATTTCGAAAACAAATGCAAATGCAACAATTTTCGCAGTTTCTCAAACGGTTAAAATTAATTTAGGAAAATAAAATCATCATGTCTATTTATTTACTACGTACATACGAGTCTGTTACTCGTCCTCAAGGTGTGTACAACGGAAAATTTTATCCACCGAGAACAAAAGTTTGCATGTACGCAAACCATAAAACTTGGACAGAAAGCGTCTTTCTTATTGGACATTTCTTGCACAAGGCGCAGCCGTCTCTTCCGGGAAGGTGTTTTGGCTGATCCCTCTTCCACCTTGGTACCTCTGCTGGACGCCTGCCAATTACGTATTTAGCACAAATTCGAGGTTTCATGCATTCTCGATTCATCCTTATTAATTAAATTGTTTATTCAATTTATTCTTGGTATGAGTAGACTACACTTTTGTTAATTACATTCTTGTGGGGTAAATAATTCGAACGATAACTCAATGATACTTTCGGGTTTAAAGAAGCTGACTGAAGTACATTGTATAATTTGTAAATTACATATTTTATTTTTATTAAACTTTTAAATATAGGATTCAGAAATGATGTCTTCATTGATTCGTTTATAAAATTGAAAGACAATCGACTCCACATGAGATCTTACAACTCCCGTGAAACATTAGAACTGAAATAATTTTATTATGGATTTCTTTTCTAGAGGCCTCCTATTATTTTATTCTAAAGCCATGCTAATTCTTAAATGTACTAGGTATAGTAATTTTATTTGATCGTCGTTGACTCCATTACTGATCATCCAATCTCTCTTTACAGACCGAACTCTATGGCATAAAATGGCGTAAGCTCGTGTGGGGGGAGACTAGAGGCGGCGGCGAGGGCGAGGAAGGTGCGACTCCCCTCGCCGACCCTGTGATCAGCAGCTACGCTCGTTGCCTCGCCGGCGACATCCTGTGCGTCTGGCGGCGCGTGCCAGCGCCCCAGCCGCCCGATATCTACGAGATGAGCGCGCCCGCGCCGCCGCCTCTCTCCCTCCGAGCCGCCAAAGAGCTCTGGATCTTCTGGTACGGCGAGGAGCCCGACCTGAACGGGCTCGTTGCTCCAGAGTTGATTGCAAGTCGTGAGTATTGCCACAACTATTTATACCACTAAATTGGATTTTAAATGTGCAATATTTAGTGATGTATATTCAAATATTCTCTACTGTTCTAGAGGTCACTAAACCGGTTAGGAACATCCGTTGTGTGGTGGTGCAGGTGCAGTCTATATGGATAGGGTATTGTACATGTTAAACTGGTGATAAAGTTGCTGGGTGCAAAATATTGACGCACTAAGATAGTTTCATTATAAGATATTAATCTTGTTTTTTTTTTTTCTACGGATGAAAATGAAATAATATATCCGTCTGCGCTATCGGCATACACTAATGGCACACCAGTGAGACATAATAGGTGAGGATGAAAGCAAGTCAGTTGGCCCATCGTAACGAATTCCACAATTAATTCTAGAAGCAACCGCGTGAGGGTCTCGTCCTGTTCGCGTATGTTGTTAGCAATCACTAACAATCTCTGTCTCCGACGAATCTTGTTAGGAGTCGCCTAAAGTAGCATTTTAACATTTCGCAGAACAATCGGGCAATAATTTGTCACGACGACTAGAAGTAGCATAATACCTCAACTTAACAGCTCGTTAAGCAAACCGGCGCGGTGCAGGTCTTCGATAACAATTAACCCTCAGATTATAAAGGTCTTGCGAAGTCATCCTCCGAACAATAAATATTCCAAGAAAGTGGATCGCGGGGAAATGTTTCATTAATTAATCTATAGATTCAGATACCAATCTCTGTAGTAATAATGAAATACTTACGTCAGATAATTCCAATACTCTCATTGTTTACGCCCAATCATTATTCAGCGTACGTTCGATCTATTTACAATTAAGTAATACCTAGTAATATTTGTGTAGGAAATATAATAAACTTCACCTATTAATTAAGATACTTCCAAAGCAAGAGTGTAGTCCCGTTTTGTCTGTATATTTTGTATGCTATTATGTGTTCAAGTATGCGTAAGAGTCTACTGGGAACGCCTTATCCAGAGGCAGGCGACTACAGATATCTTGAACCGCGGGATATCGTTAACATATAGGATCTATGAAACGATTAATGCCACCGTTTCTTTGCGGAATAAAAAAAATTTGTTACGAATCAAAATGTCTTTGTAGCCAAGTTGATATATTTTCTATGTAACGTGTCTACGCTATATATCGTAATTTATTTTGTTGTAGAGCAAAATACGCTGATATATGGTGCCATTATTGCAATCAGTTACAAGTGATTGATGTAGTGACATTTTCTTTTCATTTTATGTTTTTTAACCGACTTCAAAAAAGAAGGAGGTCGTCAATTCGTTGATATTTTTTTTTAGTTTGTTGCCTCATAACTCGGTCAGTTATAAACCAACTGTTGTTCAAGTATAACAACTTGTTAAACTAATCGCATAATTTTTTTTTAAAGGATGTTTTCTTGCAGATTGGTTCCATGGAAATTTTATTTAAATAGATTAAGTAGGTTTTTATATAAAAGTAACTAGTATTACCACAATTGAAGTCGGTTTTTTTTTGGAACATGATGTTTAGTTTATTTTTTTTATTTTCAATATTAATGTGATTGTATAGCGCCTATTTTCATTTATATTTGTTTATGCTTAAACATCTGAGTAAAAATGAATATATTTTGGAAAGTCATAATAGTAATATTATATTCGACAACTTAAAATTGCCCAATACCTTCTCGTAGTTGCACTACCTACTCAAATAATTTACGTCGCGTTAACCATTTCTCACTTTGAATTTATGACAATACACTACAATATAGTAATAAGTCGTGGGAGTTTGCTATATAATATTTCTCCGTATCAGGTAGATCTGAAAACCAGCCAAATACATTACATTGTCATTATATATGGTTGTACATGGCTCAAACTGTATTATATAATTTCATTTCTAGGTATATCTCTAATTTTTTTATACCACTAAGGTAACAAACAAGCATACCGCCCACTTGATTGTTAGCGGTGAATGTAGTCTATGAACGTCTGCAATATCAGGATCATTATGCGTGCATTAATCGTAAAGAAACCTCTTTATCCCTTTTTTGAAAAACCCCATGCTTTCTCATGTCTCTTGGAAAAACCTCGACATTACATGAAGTAATTAAAATAATTTTATATTTTAGTTTATATAAAACAAAATTTTGTTTCGTTGACAAGATCAACGCTTATACAGAATTGGCTATTTTTTTTTTAATATTCGTTATAGTCCAAATAAGTTTTTAAGCTTTAATAAGTAACAAGCATCCATAAATACATACGAGTATCTATATTTTTTTGTTACACTATTTCCTGTTTCCAATTACTAAGATTGAAATCTTAATTGGACGACTTAAGCTACAAATATGATATGTCTAATAAAGTAACCTGTCATACGATATGTAACTTGGATATAAAACAAACCGTGGGGAGATCATAGGGGTCGAACCCCCGCACTCCTCCGTCCGCCTACACGTTTGTCAGAGAAATAAATACCCAAGTATCTAGTACTTACTTCTATAGAATAAGTAAACGGTCTATGTTGACATATAAATTTATGTACGAAATGGCCATTAGACCGTTCCTGATACAGTTCATACATTGCTATTGGTCAATGAAGTCGGTTCTCGGCCGAAACACTTTAAAAATTTAATTTTACAATAAGTACGAGTACTTGAACAAGTAAGCTGAAATTAGGCAACTAATCCTGTTCATCATCATTGCCTTGTCCCTTGTCGTTATCCCATTTATTTGAGATCGGCGCAATATGTCTTCTTCCGCAAATCCCTGTCAACTGTCATTTCCGAGCTCACTCCTCTTTTATGCGTAACATCTTTCACACTGTCCATCCACCTTCGGTCGTCCCCTTCTTTTACATCAACTTTCATACTTAACATTTTCTTTAAAACATTTCATTTCTTAAGCAAGTAATCCTGTTATCGGATGAAAACATTTATAAAGAAAATTATTTTGAAATTTCCTGTGAGGAACAGTTAATTCTTATGGGGTGTAATGACGGTTTAATTACTGAGAAAGGAATTTGTGGAATTCTCATCGGAAGTAGAGAAAATGGGGTGTTGGCTGGCGCAACCCTATTGGTAATTAACCGAATTCTAAGTATTTGCTAATTAATCATAATAGACATGATGAACCTCAGACATTTTCGTTTATACGAAATTTTTAAGCCAACGTGACATAAACAATCAAAATCATATAATTTCTAAAATTATATGCAATATTCATTTTTTAACTGAAGGCCAATTTTACGAACGAATTTCATTATTTTGATCCAAAACTCTGGATTTACGTAGAATTACACTTCACCCAGTTCTCTAGGTTTCTCTATCGCATAATTGCATACTATGTCCAATTCGTATCTTTATAATATTTACGTTTTTTTTTCTTACTAATGCCATTAAAGTATCAAGTACCTATTCGCTCAATGTATATTTTATCTCAACAACATCGCCTTACAGTTCAACGAACTGTTCCTACGCTCCATTCAGAAAAATACTATAATACTACACTTCGCTTCCGTAGTAAATGTAGGTGATATTCGATGAAATGAAATATGATAGGTCAAGGCTAAAATTACATATAGCTATATGTAATTTTGCACTTATCACCATGCACGTATCATCATCATCATATAAGCTGTGAACTGTCCACTGCTAACTGCCTCACCTTTTTGGGGATTTTGCAAGTAGTTGCTACGATTGGCAAGCCGGTTGACAATCGCAGTTAGGTTTTGGTGATGTTAAAAAGTGGTGATGTTGCCCATCGCTCGACCATTAATTTCCCTTAGTCGCCTCTTACGATCCCCACGGGAAAGAAAGTGGATTTCTACATACGTATACATACATATTTGTCACGCCTGCCTCCCATTAGGGTAGGTAGAAACAATGGAACGCCAAATACTTTGATTCAAACAAACCTCTTGCGCTTCTTTTTTTTTTTTTTACAACACAGGGGGCAAACGAGCATGCGGCTCACCTGATGGCAAGTGACTACCGCCGCCCATGGTCACCCACAACACCTACCTACTTCTTCCACATTCATCAATCTTTTCATACACGCTCGCCGGTTACGGGTACTTTTAATTTGGCCCTTCTTCAGCACGTCGCCTATTTGGTCGACATACGTCCGTCGAGGGCGTTCTCTAATGACATCTCCATTGATTCTTGCTCGATAAATCTCTTTCCTAATTCTTCTTTCATCCATCCTCACCAAATGGCCAAACCAACGCAACATTCCTTTTTCGATTTTTGTCACTACATTGTCTTTCAGTCCACACTTCTCTCTAATCACACTGTTTCTTACTCTATCTTTTAATGTAATACCACACGTACTTCTATCAAAGCTCTCATTTCTACAGCATTTATCTTACTTTTATGCTTACATACATACATATCTGTCACGCCTGTCTCCCATTAGGGTAGGCAGAAACAATGGAACGCCAAATGCTTCGATAATTTTTATGCTTCTTCTGCCAAAAGTGGATTTCTATTCCGTTCTATACCGGGACCACACGACAAATCTATATGTATATATAGTTGTAATCTCTTATATATTTTATTTTCTTTATGGAACAGCAGTGATATCTGTAATTAATTTTATCTAAATGACTGATCACTATTATATAAAAAGGCTTATTAGTATTATTGCTTTTTTTAAATATAGTTTATATGTGTTTTAAGGCATATTTTTACATTAGCTGTTCAATCTCTGGCTGAAGTGATTCATTGTAATTTGACAAAATGTCTGCAAGGAATCCATTACCTTTGACCAACTTCCGGCGTTTCATTCAAATGTTACCGATAATGTACAGCGTACATTGCCAATATGCGACCCTGTTACTTTAATGGGGACATATGTATAGAAAATTCCAAAAATCAAACTCTGCATAAGTCGTTTCCGTTTAGTGTCAACAGGTGATCTGGACTCTGGGTTAGTCGTTTGGCTTTGTTCCTTTAATTAGAGTTTTTTTTTGTATGAAATCTAATTAGATATGTCATTTTTTACTTCGACTTAT